TAGGTGATACCTGTGATTAGAACATTTCTCATCACATTAGCATTTTCCAATAGTGTAAGTCCATTTTGTAGCACCGTGATATGGACTTGACTATGTTTCTTTCACATAACATTTATCTTCAGGGAAATATCCAGTGATGTTGTTGAAAATTGGCAATTTTGTATCTATTATATGAAAACACTATAGGATCTAATAAATAAATAAAGTTCTAATATATAGCCCAAAAGAGGATGGGCATGTACTAAAGATTGTATTTTCTTTAAAGCTCCTTTGGGCTGTTTTTTTAACAGATGAAATTCCTTAAAAGGCTAGCTGTTTTGAAAAAATAAATGAATCAATCTTTTGATCTATGCTTATGATCCCTGGCATTATTATCTATCAGTTCACAAAAAGGCAAACAGGCAAGTTATTTTTAACTACAGTTAGATCACACATAGCAGAACAACAGCGAGCAAAATTCATGATTATGCAAACACAGTTACAATCACTGGTCCAAGGACCAAAATAAAGTGATTTGATTTGTTCAGGAAAAAAAACCCTCCTCTGCATCATTTTAGGGTTTTTTTAACTACACCACAATTAGCTTTCAATTGTAATGTAGCAATATTACTTACAGTGGTGATGATTGCTTCTGCCCATAATTTATATAGCACATTTTAGGTTTTTAATTTTTATATCATTACATAATCAATTGCTTCTGCTTTTCACTGATGGGTTAAATAAATGACTTAGTATTTATTGGATATTTCAGCCTTCAGTGAAAAATGACATACTGCACACTCACCAACAACATTTCAGTGGGATCTTTTTTTGCTGCTGAGGTATTTAGTCTACCATCTCATATTTAGTTCTGCTTCTATCATCTTTTCATGAAGTACATAGAGAAAATATCCCTAATATGCATACCAGGTATTTTCTGGTTTATCTATATATGTACGTAACTGTAGCTACAATGATTCTCAATTGTTAGCCATGCAAGTAACTTTCAGATCTGACAGTGTAAAATAGAGTTTATATATGTCTGATTCATGAATATTAGGCATTAATATGTATCTTGGGTTTGTAAGGATATAAATATAGATAGCATTTTGTTCAGGAATAGATACTTGTAAAGGACTGTATCTTCTCTCTCTGCAGCTCTAAAATATATGAATGCAAAAAGAAAAATCTGCACAGTATTCTATGATTGGAACTCATTGATGGCAAATATTTTAATTCCTTGTTATGTATATTTTTGCTGGAGGGCAAACTAAGGGAGAACATGGTTTGATAGGTCACTAAATGTCCCGTTGAAAAGGCTATGTGGCCCAGATGGTATTTTCCTCTGCTCATAGGGATTTCCATAATTTAAATTTTCAGGTGATCTGTCCCAATATATTATTCCCTGTGCATTTTGCTCAGTGCAAAATTTCAATAACAGTACGTTAAATAAAATAATTAACTTGAGGGTGTAGGTTGAGCCAATCAGAGAATACAGCTAGAGAAACAGATGTTTACATTACACTGTAACTCCAAGGGTATTTAGTATTTTAATGTTCAGACCATGAAGATAATGTTTTAGTTTGTTAATATATAATTAAACAAGATGTTCTTCTACATACCATGTTCTTTCTAAGGAAGGAAAAATAAAAGTTTGAATGATTAGTTGCAGAATTTAATGGATTTCCATAGGCAGAACAGTATATCTTGCTAATCAGCCAGAAGGTTTAAAAGAGTTTTCAGTGTCACTAGCTTCTGATTTCCTTATAAATTATTCTTGCTGTAATTAATAATGGGGGGGGGGCGTTAGAGATAGATAAAGTTCTGCAATGATCCCTTTGAAAGTGTAAATGGTTTCTCTTATTTCTCTGCTCTGTGTGTGTATATATAAATGTGCATGTAACTGATTTCCCAGAGAACCAAATTAATGCTGTGGTTAGATCTTCAACCATGTTTGAAGCTTATCTCTTCACCTTGGGGCAGTTACTCTGTTTCAGTGGCAGCCTAATAGAACTCCTAAGGCTGTTATGAAAATAATCAGGAAACAGAACAAAAAAAAACAACCCAGGAACTGGAAATTCTTTGGGGGTGGGGGCAGCCAGAGAAATCTACTCAAGAAAGGAAGTACCTGTGAAAGCAAAAGGGACTGTTGTGAAGAGATCCTTGTGTATGCCATGCAAAAGAAGTGGAAGCTAATACAATGACGAAATAAAGCATGACTTTTAAAAAAACTCTAATTTCAGATAAGCCAAAGCTGTCCCATAAGTTCCTCAATTACAACTTCACCTGGTCATGTACGAGTGTGTGGCAGGAAACAAAACTGCCCTGTAGCAATTCATGTCATCAAAAAATAGAGAGAGCATCCTTGTATAACCCGGGATGGGCTTACCTGTTACAGATAACAACTATATTTTTAAAAGCACGCTCTCCTTTTTGTCCAATTGCATTCAATTCACAGCTGTAACAAAACAGGGAAACAAAACTCACTTGACAAGAAAGTAATGACGTTCCTCCATTAGAAAAAAAACTTAAATATCTGCTTCACCCAGCATCCTACCTCTGACAGAGGCCAAACCAAGTCTTGTCAGGAAGCCATGTGAATCAGACAGTGCCTCTCTAGTTTCTGCCCCGCTCTCATCTGGTACACTGTCTCTAAACATAGAAGTTCTGCCAAGTTATCATGGCCTGATAGAAGCATGATCTGCAAGTTACACCAATCCTTTGGAAACTATATTTAAATCAATATCTGAGAGGGAAAATTGTATTGCAGTACACAGGTGTGCATGCGTGTGTACACCATCTTCATTGCACAGTTCACTTTCAAGGTAAGCCCCATTAAGCAAAGCATAAAGATCAGTATGCAAAGAAGTATGAAATACCATGCTAAAGAAATTAAGGCACAAGGTAAGAAAAAGAACTTCAACCATGAAAATTTTTTTTTAATCCTACCTGTAATTGATGATGATGATGATGATGATGATGATGATGATGATGATGATGAATGGTATCATGACTACCTGGGTAGGCTGAAGGAAGAAAAATATTCAGAAGCTAAAAATTTTAGTATCTTTCAAATCCAATATATTTAAAAGTTGGGGTGTTGGCAGTTTAAATCATTGAAAATAATAATCAATCAAGCCAGATTGATTAGGAAGGAGAGACTTTTGTATTATTTCATTTTTAACATAAGTTCAGTAAGCCCCATCTCTAAGAGGAAAAGAAAAGGCTTTGCAAAGGACATCATGCTATTTCACTTTCAATCATCTATTTTGTCTACACAGGGACAGAAGAAGCAAAGAAAAACAAGGGTGAAAATTAACTGGGAACTGTCTCTGGGGAAATGTATTAGTTAAACTAGGAACTGCCTCAGAGAAAGTCTCACTTTTATGCTGGGTAGTCATTGTTTGCTCATTCACAATATAAACTCTTGCTGTAGGCTGCTCAAACTCACATATCCATTTGTAGTTTTTATTCTGTTCTCCATGGCATCCACCTGTGTAGCAAAAAGTGTTCTGCTTACAAATGTTTCAAACAACTTTCTGAAAATACCAAATACATCCAGCTGCTACATTCATACAAAGCTCTGTATTAGAATTGATTCTGATGGGAGATTCAGTTTGATTTTTTTTTTTAATCTAATCCAGATATATTTGCTTTTTCTTTTTTTGCTCCAGATATGGAAATTAAACTACTGTCCTAGTCCTTTTCCAGCAATAAATAAATAAATAAATAATATAAAATGATATTTAAGCAAAGTCAAATTTCCAAAAAATTATTCTTTAAATAAATGCATGCATACTCAAATAAATAGATCAGAAATATATTAAACAATGCATTTCTCAAAGCAGAAATTTTAAATGTCTTTGATTCACAGACAGGTTCTATCAAAATAATTTGGAGGAAAACCAATGAACAAAATATTAATTAATTGGATCTAAATCCAAACCATGTAGTGGTTTCACTGGTTAGAAACCACAACTGCCCTTTATGTGGTATTTAGCTCCAAAGGCTTCTCTACACTAGAAATAGCCATGACTACCAATCTAGGAACAGTAGAAATATTTTAATCCAGTTTCTTTCAGGATTGCCTCTGTACACTCCAACTTATTACATGAGATTCTTGTTTATGTCTTTCCCAGCCTTGCTTTTCCTCCAAATTCAGCCTGAGAAACTAGAGATAGATTTCTCTCTCTCACACACACACACACACCTTAAAAAGCATCTGCTTCTCCAGACTATTTGATCACGAATCTAAAAGCATTTTGTTCAAAAATAAAATCTGCATTTCCAGAAAAAACATCACACACAAAGAGGGGGGGGAAAAATCCATACTGACATCTAAAATCCATTCATGGGTGCTTATTTACAAACTATTGTGACAAGGGGTGGGAGAGGAAAGGAAAGCCAACTTCTAAAGATGCTCATTGTTCAATTACTCACATTATCTCCTTGGTATACTTAATAATGTAATAATGTGCTTTATTAAACAACAGAGGCTTTTCCCTGGTCACAAAAGAAAACTGTGAAAAGCTTTTTCATTTCAAGATGTAAAATGAAATAGCTGTTAAACACACATTGCAATAAACGTTTTCAAAAGACAAAAAAAAAAAAAAGAACACACAGGCAAGCACATCATTTGCTAAATCACAGATTTTGTTGTTGTTTTTTTAAAATATAAGTTCTATGCTTCATATTCTCTAAGCGAAAACCACCTAGCTTAACAACACCAATTCACCAATTCTCACAAATGTCCGGAAAAATTTGTAAACCAGCAGCACCAATATTCAGGCATAAAATAGATCAGAGAGAACAGCTCCAAGAAATCAGTCTTAGGAAAGGAAATTAATGATGAGAACGGTACTATATATTTTCTGCATTAAACAGCTGTCACAAGAAGATGCACACACACCTCTCCGCTGCTCAGAAATGGGGAAAGTGCACTTCCACGGACATGGGAAATCTTTAAAGCACTCATATTTAAGGCACTCATAAAACAAAAACAAAAAAAACACGGAACTCACCACACACCCACAGAGTGTCAGTCTCACGGACACGGTTTTTTTTTTTTAAAAAAAAAACAAAAAACCCGCGAAAGGGATTTTTTTGTTGTTGTTGTTTTTGCCCCCGACACCGAACAGTTCCAAAGAAGACGCTATTAATTAGCTTGAAGCCGGAGAAACTTAAGCCGTGGCTCGAAGCGCCCGTGAAAAGAGTGGATCCCGTGCCACAGATGCCCGCGTGCACACGACACATGCATGCACCCTAGCCGAAGCCGAGTGAGCGCGCGAGGGATATGACAGGCGAGCCGTGCACGCCGCTCGAGTCTCAGCTGATTTTCAAGAGCAGAGCAGAGCAGAGCAAGAGCAGAGCAGGGCAACCCAACCGCGCCGAGCCAGCGGATGGGGAGGGGGGGGACCTGCATACCGTCGCCTCGCCTCCCCTTACCTAAGCGCTAACGTTTTAATGCTGGATCAGCTCCTTTACAAGCAGGTCTGCTGGCCCAAACAGTCGAGGACTTGTAGCACGTGTGCAGCGACCCTTCCGCAAGCCATCTTTTCCCCTGCCTGTTAGCACGCCGAGCTTCCCCAGCTGCAAACATCTCATTAGACTAATGCATTCAGCACGGGCAGAAAACTCGATTTACCATAGCTACAGCCATGAATTTCCATTACGATGACAGCTTCTACCACATCATGTCCGGAAAAACCAGCCAACCACTGCCTTTTAAAGAAAACACAACCACACACACACACACACACACACACACACACACACACACACTCTTTACATGCAGAAAGGGAGGCCTGCGCGTGGGTTCTGTATTTTCGTTGTCCTGCTGTTGCTGCTGCTAAACTAAATGGAAAAATCGTGGCGTTGGACAGGCTGCACAAATGCATTTTGCACGTTGGAATTTATTTATTTATTTATTTTTTAAAAACAACGTTTCTTACACGCAGCGACAGCAATTTGACAAGGGACGGACTGAGCGTTTGGAAGCCCTCCTCTTTTTTCTTTTTTCTTTTCTTTTTTTTAAAAAAAACTATTCCTCTGTTGTTGCCATAGTAACCAGACTGGATCCTCGTCTCTTTGTCCCAGCCATCCAGCAATGTGGCCCAGGATTGCGCTTTAGACCACGACCCCAGAGGCAGGCGGAACTGAAGCCGCCGCTTGACTTGGGAGAAGCTCCAGCAAGCCGCTCCGCAAAACTTGGGAGTCCCTGACTGGGCGGCTTCGGAAGACCGAGCCTTCTGCGCCCCGCCCCGCCCCGCCCTCGCCGCCCCGGGCCCAGAGCTTGGGGAAGGGCGCGCTTAAGGACTGAATCGGTGCAAACGGCGGCAGAGGACAAGCCAGGGGGATAAAACGGCGAGGCACGGTGGAGTAGCTCTCCTGCATTGCCAGCCCCCTCGTTGGATTGACTGCAACACAGCGAAGGGCTTCCATGGATGGTGGCAAAGTCTGGAACAATTTGAGATTTACTGGACTACGGTTCTGTCAAAAGTGCTAGAGAATCACCTAAACTTCAAAGACCTCAGCTGGGCTTGGACCGGTTTCTACTTGGATAGGATACCACCTGAAAATCCCAAGCTTATCAGCCAAAAACTGATATGGATGTGTGGATGAAACTCTCTGTTTTTCCTTTGAAGACCTTTTTTATTATTATTATTATTATAGTTTTATTAACATAAACAAACATAAAACACAAATACATGTAAACACTTATACATTAACAAAGAGTCAATCGACTAACTTCTAGAAAACCTTCGCATCGGTGATTAATGTCCGTTTAACCAATTTTCCTTAATCATACTATTTACAAATTCACTTGCTTATACCTTAATATATTCATTGAAGTTCAGCAGTATCTTTCTACAAACATATTAACCATTTATTTATACAATCCTACGGCTCATCTCATGTATCTATTGACCTTTGAAGACCTTTCACTTCTCATCCAAGAAGCTTCTTCCACTCTGAAGCTTCTTGGATGAGAAGCAAAATGTCTTCAAAGAAAGAACAGAAAGTCCAGTTGCCTCTTGAAAAAGAACCTTTGGGACAACTGTGACCTGGATGATTGAGAATGTCCATAGATAGTAAGGATGAAAGTGCTTCCAAAAAAAGTACTCCTGTATAGTGGTCACGGATGAACTTACAAAGCCATGGATGAACTTACAAAGCCATCAAAAGTCAAGAACTCAATTGAAGGGGACTACTTTGGTAACCTGTACCTGTATTAAGTAAAGACCTACACAAATTGTGTATTTATGATACAGTCCCTTGGATAAAATGCTCAGCAAGTGTAGGGAACCTCTGATATCCTGGATGTTGCTGTGTGACTTCAACACCCAGGAAAGCCTCAACGATGAGGAAAGTTATAGGGAACAGAACTCAGCAACATTTGGAGAATTATAGGTTCCATATCCTAGTCTTAAGCAATTGTAAGAACTGCCTCGTTGGCTCAAATCAAATCCATAATTTGTTAGGCTCCTTAAGACAGAATAAATGATTGATGATGGTGATGATGATAGCAATTTTTGCACTTGTCCTCCCATCATCTATCAACAAAAGAAAAGCAGAAATTGAATCCAAAAGTTCTAGAGATGTCCTCTAGATTCTAGAACATCTTTCCCCATACAACCCTAAAGCTCAACTACTTCAAACAGAGCTGCCTAGAAATTCTGAGGATAGGAGTATTGATGCTTTTGAACGCTGGTATTGGAGAAGACTTCTGAGAATACTGTGGACAGACAAGATGAACCATCAACCCAGAGTTCTCACTCATGGCACAAATGACCAGGCTCTCAAATTATCCTATTGTAGACACCTTATGTGAAGACCTAACTTCCTAAAGAAGGCTCTAATGCTGGAAAATATGGAAGGAAAGAGAAAATGACTAGCAGCAAGATGGATGGATTTCAGTTATCATGGCAATCAATGGACAATTGGAATACCTGAAACACCAGGTTAGGGTCAGATCATCATGGAGAAAATGTATATATGTGATTGCTAAGAGTTGACAATGACTTGATAACACATAATCAATCAAGTCCCAATCTGTCTGTTGGTAGTATCTTCGAGAAGGTTGATTACATGCTGATAAATTAAATTAAATGCTCTTTCCTGCGGAAGGAAATGGTTCAGTGCCTGAAAATATAATTGGAAGTTGTGACCAAACATAAGACACTCAAAATCATGCTGGTTTTCCCTCTGAAGCTGTCTCTTTTTCCTCCTTCTCTACCTCCTCCACCTTCCATTTGAAATGTAACGATTTAAGTTATTGCCAAGGAAATAACAATTTATATGTTTTAAAATAGAGAAATGTTTAACGAAAATACATTATTTAACAAATTATCAATAAATATGCCTGTATTATTAAGTCATAATAGATAATCATTTTTCAAATGTGCACAAACTGTCACTAGCTTTGCAAAAGGATAATCTGTTTTATTAAACAATTAATACTTGGCAATCTATGTACTCTTAGAAATGAGACCAAATTATTTCATTATGTTATTATAAATGAATCGTATCAGTTAATATCCATGTTATACCTAATCTTCTTAAACTGAATGAAAAGATTCCAATTGTCATAACATTTCCTTTTCAGTTCCATCTCTTAATTTAATATGTACAGTAATTTAGCCAATTATTGCTAACTGTGTTTTAATGCTGGTATGAGATTATTACTTCCAAAGCAACTTTTTTTAGTATTTCAAAAAAACAGACCAATTTATGGAATGTCATGTTGGCATAATATTAAACTTTCCAGTATTATGGAAGTATTTTAACCAAACCGCAGTAGTCACAGTCAGGAAAATCAGAATAACAGAATTTCCTTCTTTTGTACAAATATCATGATATTACGCATCCAAGCTTACAGTACTGCTTTTATTACTTTGAGGGGGGGAAAGCCCATGATACAGAGTAGGTAGATTGAATGTTCACAGTTATGTAGATTTCCAAGACCCATCAGCCTGAGCCAATAAAAATAGATAATGCAAAGAATAGTCCCAAACTTTTCAAGGCCACAAAAATCCTTAATATCCTTTAAAAAAAATCATATGCTGAAAGATAGTTTCATTGAACCGTTTAAGAAAATGTTATTTCTGACGTTACCACTGCTGACAAAAATCTGTATATGTGCCCTTGTAATATTAATATAGCCTATGTATATACTTTTTGTACCACTTTGCCACTGATAAAGAGTTCTTTCTTATGTTAAAGCAAGTAAATTATTGCTGGACAATTAATAAAGGGAAAATGTTGCCTTTGATTTGAGACTTTCATTCTCCATACAGCACCATTTGTCATGATTCTCACTTATTTATTTATTTATTGTTTATTTATTGGTTCGATTTATATGCCGCCCTTCTCCGGAGACTCAGGGCGGCTTACAATGCGTTAAGCAATAGCCTTCATACTTTTGTATATACCTGCTTAGTAGGGCTTTCGGCCCACCCAAGCGGTGTTCTTTTTATACAAAGTCAGCTTATTGCCCCCGCAATCTGGGTCCTCATTTTACCTACCTCGGAAGGATGGAAGGCTGAGTCAACCTTGAGCCTGGTGAGATTTGAACTTGCAGTAATTGCAGGCAGCTGGCAGCTAAGTACTACTTAACAGCACTTAACAGCACTTCAGTCCGCTGCGCCACCAAGGCTCTCACTTGCATAATTTCTTCCTAGGAAAGCTGACACTGAGTTCTTTCAGATACATAACCAAAATGAGAAAAAGACAGTTAAAAAAGAACTACCTGTATGATTAGAACAAGCACACAAAAAAGTTATAACAGAGCAACCCACAAACACAATATTCTATCCAATACTGAGGACAGGATGCTCATTAACCACCATCTGCTCAGTGCTAGTTGAGAATGAAGTTAAAACAGGGTGAAGGGGAAATGCTTAATAGACTGGCTTTACCAAACATAGTACAGAGAACAGAACAGAATAATAGAGTTGGAAGGGACCTTGGAGGTCTTCTAGTCCAACTCCCTACTCAGACAGGAAACCCTATACCGTTTCAGGCAAATGGTTATCCAATCTGTTGTTCCGCCAGGCTGGGCTATCAACATAACAATTTTAAATTGGGTTTTAAATTTCTGGGGTTTTAAAATTTAGCCGAATTCATTTAATAATTTTAAACTATTTTAACTGATGTTGTTTGTGTTTTTAATAGGCTGTACACCGCCCTGAGTCCTTCGGGAGAGGG